TGGCGAAGTGCGTGTTCGCATTCCTCGGTCCATTCGAAGGCTGCTTCCTTTCGTAGGAGTTTGAAAAAGGGAAGGGCGTGCTGAGCGGACTTCGCGACGAAGCGCGAAAGTGATGTCAACATGCCGTTCATTATCTGTATCGACTTCTTCGACGTTGGAGTCGGGAGGTCGGCGAATGCTCGGCACTTGTCGGGGTTGGCTTCAATGCCTCGTTCTGTTAGGTAGAATCCGAGGAACTTTCCTGCCTTAACCCCAAATGTGCACTTCTCCGGGTTGAACCTCATTTTGCATTGTCTTGCTTGGGCGAAGACAGTCTTGAGGTGAGCTGCGTGATCGGTGTCTGCTCGAGATTTGACGATCATGTCGTCCATGTACACCTCGAGCATGTCGCCGATCTGTTTGTTGAACACTTTGTTCATCATGCGTTGGTATGTCGCGCTGGCGTTCTTTAGTCCGAAGGGCATTACGTTGTAGTAATAGTTGCCCGAGCTGGTCATGAATGCCGTGCAGCGTTTGTCGCCCGGAGCCATTGGGATTTGATTGTATCCCGAGTAAGCGTCCATGAACGACAAAGTTTTGTAGCCGGCCGAGTTGTCGACCAGCATATCAATATTTGGTAGAGGAAAAGCATCCTTCGGGCAAGCCCGATTGAGATCGGTATAATCAACACACATTCGCCATTTTCCATTATTCTTTTTGACAAGTACAACATTTGACAGCCAGGTGGAATACCGGGCTTCAGAAATAAAATTTGCCTCTAAGAGGTCTTTTACAGCTTTTTCAGCAGCCTCCGTTTTTTCTGGAGACTGCCTACGCCTACGTTGTACTACTGCCTTGGCGGCTGGATCAATGGCGAGGTGATGACAGGCGACCTCAGGGTCGAGTCCGGGCATCTCTGCAGCGCTCCAGGCGAAGAGATCAGCATTCTCGCGCAGACAGGCCTTGATTTGCTTCCTGGCCAAGTCGGGGAGGTCTTTGCCGATCTTCACTCCCTTGGTCGGGTCTGCTCCGAGGGGAACGAGCTCGAAATCACCGTCCGGAATAGGTCGGAGGGGGATTTGCTCGCTGCTGGCCGGTTCGTCTTGGTCAAAACGGGCGTCGAGCGCAATGGAGTCGACCTTTGGTGGAGCCTTCTGAACTTCTACCTCAGGAGATGCTCTGTCGGGCTCTTGCTTTGTTTTCTTGATGGGCCTAGTGCTGGGACCCACGTCGACAGTATCCCGTCCCCTTGAAGCGGCGTTGAAGCACCTGCGGGCAGCAGCGAGGTCGCCATGGATGGTGGCTACCCTCGCCCGTTTGGTGTAGAACTTCATTTTTAGGTGGACGGTTGAGGGAACCGCTGTCAGCTCCGCCAATGTCGGCCTCCCCAAGATGCAATTGTACAGGGACGGGCAGTCAATGACGAGGAAGCGGACCTTCACCTGTCTTGTAGCAGTTCCTTCCCCGAATGTCACGAGGAGCTCGACATATCCCCAAGGTTTGGATGTCGAGCCGTTGAAGCCTTGAAGGTCCGAACCTATATATGGAGACAGATGGGAGTCGTCCAGTTGTAAGGTCCGGAACAGCTGGGTGTACATCACGTCGACGGAACTCCCTTCGTCGACCAGGATGCGATATACGTCAAAATTGGCCATCTTTGCCCTTATCAGCAAGGGGATGACTGCGTTCGGTGCTCCGCCGGGGAGCTCTTCCAAGTAGAACGTGATAGGCTCTGATCTGCCCCTCACCATTTCAAAAGTCACAGTTTGAGGAGGAGCTTTGTCGACCAGTTCGTCCAACTTCCTCTTGGCTGAGTTGATGGTGAGGTCGTTGAACCCGCCCCCGTTGATGACCATGGCGGAGGGGAAGTATTCCCACCTGCTGTGTGTAGTCAGAGGCTCCTGCAGGAGCTCGGGCAGTTCGAAATCCTCGGGCCTGGTTACCGAGAAGGCGGTCTGGATTGGCACCGACTCGTCAGATGGCCGGGCATCTTCTTCGGGCTCCTTTGCCTCGCGGGCTTCACGACGGGGAGCGTCGTTTCTCCTGTACTGTGCCAGTCTCCCCCCTTTGATGAGGGTTTCAATGGCGTCCTTCAGGTGGACGCAATCCTCTGTCAAGTGACCATGACTCCTATGGTACTGACAGTATTTGTTTTTGTCTACTCCTGGCTTGGCAGGAGCTGGTCGGGGACGCTTGACGCCACCGTCTTTAAAATCTGTGCTTGCACACTCCGCCAGAATACGCTCGCGGGAAGCCGTGAGCGGAGTGTACTCAGTAAACCTGCCCGAGGGGCCCCTTTGTTCTCGGACCTCCCGGGGTCTGTCTTCCTTCCTCTTCTCTCCGGTGCGTCGGGGAGGAGGGTCTTGTCTCGAGCTGCTGCCATGGTTGCGAGCCCTGGAGTCTCGTGCCCTGTTGGCAGCTTCTCTCTCCTCGTAGTCCATATATGCTCGGGCTTTGTCGAGGAGAGCATCAAAAGTTGCAGGTGGCTCGATGCCTACAGCTTTCCTGAATTCTGTGCCGGGGAGGAGGCCCCTCTCCAGCAAGTACCTCTTCATATGGTCCGCGCAGGGGACCTGGATTGCCTCCCGGTTGAAGCGGTTGATGAATTCCCTCAAGGTCTCATCATGTATTTGAATGATGGCCTCGAGGGCTGCCTCAGTCTTTGGGTGGCGACGAGACGCTGTGAAGGAGCTGATGAACTGGTTCTTCAAGTTCCGCCACGAGGTGATGGAGCCCGGGGCAAGTCCCTTGTACCAGTCCATGGCCGCCTTCCTGAGAGTTGTTGGGAAGAGACGGCACTTGATGGGCCCCCCGACATTGTGATAGTGGAGCATGGCTTCGAACCCGTCAATGTGGTCGACTGGGTCCGCCACTCCATCATACTCCTTTAGGTGTGGGGGCTTCTCCATGCCCGGGGGGATAGGTGCGTCCATGATTGCCTGCGACAGGGGACCGCGGGGGTCGTCCTCGTCGCTCCTTTCTGGAGAAAGAGAAGGGGTCCTGTAGTTGTGTCGGGCACGTTGCTCGTGCTGGGATTCCCTTGAACGTGATGTTCGGTGCTTGAAGGTCACATGCCCGTCTCTGTTGTGCCTCCGGTCGTGCCTTGATGGGTCGCGAACGGGCTCTTCGGCAGGAATGACGGGCTGTCTTTCATACTGGGGCCGCCTCTGCCTTGGTGCGGGAGAGGGGCTCCGAGAGTTTTCCCTGTAATGTCTCCGCGGGGGAGTAGGGTGTCGAACTTCTTCGACCCGAGGAAGTGGAGATGGTGGCCTTTGATGTCTCCTCGGGGGGCGTCGATCATTTTCCAGTGCCCTAAGTCTTTCTCCTTGCGCGAACAGGAGATAGTTCGTCTGGTTGATGGCCGCGAACAGTGCCTGAGCCGTGGCATCTGCCCCGGCAGGGGCTTGGACTTCATAGAACCGGGCAGCCTGGCGATAGGCGAGAGCCTCCGGATCGTCTTCGAGTCCTGGAGGAGTTGTCGAGGAGGACGCAGTGTTCCCGTCCCTGCGGGTGGAAGGTCCAGGGGCGGTTGTCACGGGGACGGTATTGTGGCCGGCACCACTGGGATTGTCCAGGTGCCCATTCTTGTCCGCGGGACCGTTGTTGGCGTCGAGGACGCGAGTGTGTTGTTCTTCACGAGTTGGAGAGGCCATGACAGTGAATGGATTGAGCTTTGGTCTTCGAAACTGTTCGTTAGACGGGGAAGCTGTTTCCCACAGACGGCGCCACTGATCTGACCTGATCAGGAGGTTTGGACCGTCACAGCTGCTCCGAGCTGAAGGCTTTTTGAACGAGGAGGGGGGGTACCTGCAAGGCACTCCGATGCTTAAGTCAGAGGGAGTACTGGCAGATAATAGAGTTGAGGTTAGAATGATCAATACCTGACCCTCTGGAAGCAGAGGGTATTTATAGCCTCCAGCGCTGGGCCAAGGTTCCTTCATTGGGCCGGGCGGATTTGGCCCAATGGAGGAACTGCCAGGTTCTACGTGGGTAGTGGGGACCAGCACGTGGTCCCCTTCCTGGATGTGCTGCGTGAAGTGCGGGCGGACGGAGATGCGGTCTTTCCGGAGTATCGTTGGGACAAGGGTGACTGAGTCTGCCCTAGCAAGGTAGCTCGAGTCCATGTCGAGCTGCGCAGCACGGTGCCGAGCTCGACGCCAAGGCCTCGAGCTGGACAGCGAGTGTCGAGCTGGAAGCCAGGATATGGAGTTGGACGGCAGTCTGTCGAGCCTGACCTCGTCGCGTGGGACTAGACACTGAGATGTCGAGGTGGACATCAGGGTGTCGGGCATGAACGTGACCCCCTTTGCCCAGTGTGTCCTTAGTGAGTCCTTTTGGACTGGGCCTTAGTAATGCTTTTGGGCCTGTCGGGCCCAGTCCAGAACAGTTGGTATACTCTATGCCCTTTGCTTTATTAGCTCACTTTGTCTAGTAAAAGAATAAATTAAAAACTAACTTATTATTATAATGAATTAATGATACTTTGTTGAATAATAATATAAGTTCTTAGATAGACAAATATAAGAAATAGTTTTACAAACAATTAATCACAAATTTTTAATTAATTAAAAAATAAATATAAAATTTTCTATCTCTTTCATAATCACAACCACCCCCATAAATTTAATTAAAAAATAAACTAAAATTTAAAAAAAGTTAAAAATTTTATTTTTCTTAAAACACTTAAAGATGAAAGTTGGAAGAAATGATCGAAAGTTGATAAATTTATAGACACATAGTTAACCCCAAAATAATTTAATAACAAAAGCAACAGGAATTAGCGTGATACTATGTGTGTCCATTTAAAGCATGATACTATGTGTGTCTCTTTAAAGTTGTTTCTTATGTTTGTTTTCCTTGTGTTTGATTCTTGGCGTGTAGTAACAAAAGATTCCATACTATTCAGTATTTGCTTTACTTCTAACATGGAAAAAGAATATAACATGTAACATATAAATAACATAACAGACAAGCAAATAAAACTTGCATAGTATATTCAAATCTTTAATAGAATACCAAAAATGGCATTCTCAACAGCTTTGTCTAACTCATGCACTCTCCAAAGTAGTTTATTTTGTGCACAAAAACCAAATTCACTATCACTAAGGACATCAATTTTACCAACCCATGTTGGGAACAAAATTGTTTATCAACCTCTAAAACATAATAAAGTGTTTTCACCCAATAGATATGTGGGGAAAATAAAAGCATCACTTAAGTGGGAAAAGGGTTATAAGAATGTTGAGGTTTTCAGCAAGGAACATCTTGCTGTGTCCTTGGCTTATGATGTTGCTCAACTTTCTACCAAGTTTACCAAAGAAAGAGGTGCTTTCACTGTTGCTTTGTCTGGTGGATCAATGATCAAGTACCTTAGGTGAGTATTATCAATTTAAAATTTGTCTCTCTAATGAGGAATATAAGCAAATTAAGTCGAGCAATTTAGGAACCTTAATCGCTTTGCCAAATTTTTTTTGTATGTTTCGATTTCAGGAAATTGGTTGATTCTCCCTATGCTGAAACCATAGATTGGTCAAAATGGCATGTTTTCTGGGTTGATGAGAGAGTTGTCCCAAAGGATAACTTAGAAAGTAACTATAAGCTCGCCAATGATGGATTTCTCTCAAAGGTAAGTTAATTCATGTGCTAAGTTTATTGCAATAACATAGGTGCTAAGTTTAAAGAGGTCTCTTATTCTAATCATATTTTCATAATTCTTTTGTTAGGTGCCAATTCCCCCTCTCAATGTTTATTCCATTGATGATTCCCTACCAGCAGATGGAGCAGCAGATGTTTATGAGACAACCCTAAGACGCTTGGTTACTAGCAATGTGATAGCAACTTCAACCAATGGATTACCAAAATTTGATCTTATGCTCCTAGGTATGGGTCCAGATGGACATGTTGCATCTTTATTCCCAGGTCATGCTCTTCTAAACGAGGATCAGAAATGGGTTTCTTTCCTCAATGACTCACCAAAACAACCACCAGAGAGAATCACTTTCACATTTCCAGTGATCAATGCTTCTTCTAATGTGGCAATGGTTGTTACCGGCGCAGGTAAATCAACTGCAGTTTATACTGCACTTGAGGATGATGCAAAAACTGTTAAGTTGCCTGTTGAAAAGGTTTCGCCTTATGAAGGGGAATTGAAATGGTACTTGGACAAAGGTGCTGCTTCAAAACTGTTCAAGGAGTAGAAGCATATACAATGATACACATGCAAATAATAATTAATTGATGTCTTATTTGTTGAACCAATTATGCAGGCTTTTTAGATATCTGGAAAAATAAACATGTATTGTTAGTCCTTGAAAAATTATGATGGCATTACTTAAATATTTATAAATCAAGAAATAATAAAAGGTTTGTTTTTTCTGGTAGAGTTACACTGCACTAATATATATTTTATCAATGCATCAACATAAAAGTGATACATCCACACTTTATATTTTAGTAATCCAAATAAAACATGTTTTTGCAAAATAATAAACCAGCTTCTCATGTTCATGACTAGTTCAACCCATAAACCAGGGGTACCTCACGTTGGATTATTGCATATTGTGCACATTACATCAATAGTGCACGAAAATAAGTTAAGCAGCTTCTGAGTTTGAGTTTGAAAAATCATCCCAGCGCCATATTGTCCCATCCTCGCAGCAACTTAAAATAGTACTACAACATGACAAGAGAAAGACAACAGTCATAAAAACTATTCCATCAAATTTATGACAAGCGCACAAAAACTATGAAGAGATCACCTTCCATCAAAGGACACGGCCGTCTGCCTGATTGGAGATTTGGATTGAGCATGCGACAACCTGAAGGTAACTCGCACTCAGCATATATATTTGATCAACTATAAATCCATCAACTCAAATTAGAGAATACATACTTTGCAATAAGAACGGGAGGACTTGACTGCAATTCCCAAACAAATATTTTCCCTTCCCTGTTGCCTGGCAGAATATCCAGATTAAAAAAACACGGAAAAAGCAAAAATTAGAACCTTCCCAATAAACAACAAATTAAGTTGTTGCAAACCTGTGATGAACAAAATATGAAATATATACTAAAGCTGTGCATTAGAGAAGAAAAATATATCGTAAAGATGAAATTATAGCAACTAGATAATCTTGCCTATTGCAGCAGCATTGTAATGGAAATCACAAGAGAATTTGATGAACCATATATCACACTCAGGAACAGGGTATTTCTGAAGTACGTCGACTGAGCCCTAAACACCCAAAAAAAAAGAAAGGCTGAAGCTAAATGAAAACTTCATACATTAAAAAACAAAGAAACAGATGATAGTTCTAACTAACCTCCCCTGGAACCTGTTCCTTCACTTTAGGTTCCCACAAAACAATTTCATTGTCAACACTCTGGAAACATAAAGCGGTCCATCAATTTAGGAACTGAATTACTTCATGAAATCAAAGAATATTCAAATCATTGACTCATGAGCCTAACATGTGTGTTTGTTTTCCATTTACAAAATGGATTTCAAGGAATGTAAGATTTGGTTGAAAGGGAAAAATATTCCCAGTAATAAAATTTGCACAAATTCTCAATTTTATTTATTTGTTCTATTTTATATTTTTAAACCCAATAATTTAAAAAACAAAATGTTAGTAGTAATATCAAGAATTTACCAAACATATTGGTACGAGTAACATTTCAGGGTGTATAGCATTTGAAGCATAGCATTTCCAAACACTAAATCAGTGTGGTCCAACTTCCAATTGAAAATCCTACATTCCTTGTTTTCTTGATTACTTTTACTGTTTGTATTTGGTATCATAAAGATTGCGTGAAACAGTAGTGGGAAAGAATTATGTAAGTTCAGCTAGGAACATTGTTTCTCTTCAGCAAACCAAACTCATATTTTCTAACATCAAGTAGACTGACACTGGAATGAGCAACCACTCACCTTTGAGAGGATAAAATCACCCAACCATCTAGTACAATCAACGTAATTTGAATGAACTGAAGCATTGAATACCTGAAATTAGATACTATTAGAAAAACAAGGACATGATATGTGATTAAAATAAACTGTTTCTTACAGGAAACTGGACATATTTTGTAGGAAACTTAGAAGGGATATCTGTCCATGTGAATGATTGCTCTACATAGCTCCAGAAATCTGCAAATAACATGAAGGCAAAGATGGTTTACAGTGAAAAAAAACAAGAATACATAAGATACACTACCACTATTGTCAGTTTAAAACCTGTATCCCTTCAAAGTTAAATCTAATTTTGAGATTGACTCCTAGTGGTAAGAGTGCGCGAATTTTAAAAATTTATATTTTCTGAATGTGATAGTAAAATACTAGTGTTTGTGTGACATACATAAACAGTGATGATTATTTTTGGGGAAAACTATGTGACCTTTTCTGGTATACTTTTCATCTTTTCTATATGGTACCCGTCCATTACATTAGGGTAGATACAGTGAAACTCAATTATGTGACATATAAGAATGAACAAAAGCAACCAATGAGATAATAGCAACCAACTTGAAAATAAATGCCTTACCCTTCATAGACCATATTTTTACAGTATTATCCATGCCACAACTGGCAATCTTAAATATATCTGAAGGATGAAAATCCTACAGTAAAAAATATAAAGTTACTTGGGCTAGTAACAAAAACATCAATTATCACCACAATTTGGTAATTTATCAAGTGAAGGGGGCGATACATTAGATGCATAATACACTTACAACACTTAAGACTTCATTACGGTGTCCACCAGCTCCAGCAAATATCAAAATGCATACTCCAGTGTGAACATTCCATAACCGAACAGATTCATCCTGGTCAACTTTAGAAGTTATAGAATGGGAAGATAAATGATTCTTTAGTTTAGTAATATAACAAAGAGAATCGTCATTTACTTTGCTGGCAGATATTACAAGTGATGGCCTCAATGTTTGAGTCCTGATTTCATTTATGGAGTCCCCATGGCCAACAAAACTCTGTAGAGAAAAGGGTACCATGTCAAAAAGCAAGAGGAATTACATTATGATAGCTATGTTGTTAAGCTAGGATAGCGTTTAGCACTGCCCCTCTAAAATGCTATAGCGGTGTAGCCCTTCTAAAATGCTATAGCGGTGTAGCGGGTAGCGGGATAGGCGTTATTGCAAAGACTAAAAACAAGAGTACAGAGTAGACATAAACACTCAAAGATATAGACTAATACACAAAATTAAAGCGATCATTGTATTTAATATCAAATGAAAATAAAGTAGCGTAAAGAAACTTAAGAGAAGAAGAATAAAACATAACTGAACTAAAAGTAGGAAGAAGAACAGAACGATTATTTGTAAGCAAGGACATAACGTTACTTTTCAAAGGGATCAGATTGAAACTTATACCCTTAAAAAAAGACAACAGTTTAAAAATATAATTTAAGGAATTTATCCCCAAAATTCTAATATTGAATGCAATAGCTGCTGCGACAGCGGTTTGGGGCCACAATTAGTGGCCGCTACAACCGCTATCATTGACAGCAGCTCATGGACCAATGTGTTGCACCGAACCCTACCAATGCTACGCTATTTCGCTATAGCACTGCTATAGCGTGGCATAGTATGATAGGAACTTGGATCTGGGCCTTAGTCCAATAAGAGTTGGTTAGAATATTTCCTGAATATTAGGGAATTTCAGTTATAAGAGAGAGGGAGGGAACTTGAAAGGCATTCAGAAAGTTTGTTAGAGTCAGTTACGAGAGATTTCTCTCTGGTTTAGGAGTTCCTAGGACTCTGGTTTAGGAGTTCCTAGAACTCTGGTTTACATTCTGTTTTTCTGTTTTCACCATTGTTGAGCATTGAGCTCACCCCAAATTCCAGTTCAATAATAAACACTCTGTTTACATAATTTTCTGAGTTCTATTAACGATACGACCTTCTGGATATTCGAGGGGAGCTAGCGAAGGTCAATCATGCCACTGATGGAAGATGAATGTTTGGATGCGTTTGACGCAAGAATGATTGGAAGAATCCGTCAAATCGTTTGTGGCGGAGTTTCGTCAATTGTTGAGGGCAAAGATGGCAAAGCATTTAGGACATGTTTCCGCAGGAAATCTCAAGTGTGGTTAGGGGGCGTATTGCTCACAACAGATGCATTGAAGACTGGGAAACTATGTTCCAAACAGAGGTGAAACCAGAAAAGGAAGATACAGTGGAGAAGAAGAAACAAGATACAGAACCAAACAACACTGGAGGAACAAGTCGTGTACAATTTGTGACCTCTGTCAGTCTGCCACTATCAGATCCACTTACGACGATCCTTTTCGATTTAAAATCGCAGAACACTGGCCTATTTACGGTGGCTCTTCCTTGGTACATGTTACGTCGTGGGACTGCCCTAAGATCGCCGTTACAGAAGACTATGAACAAAGCACCGTGGAATTTCATATCAAGATATCCAACTATGCTGAAAAGAGAAGGGTCTAGAGAAGGTACGGACAATTGGTGAGGCAAGTATCTCTTTAAATCTAATGGGCCAGGACCGAGAAAATATTAGTTTGATTTTAGTTTGATTTTTGAGGCATTTAGAAATGTGGGCTGGAATAAAGCAACTAGGCTTAGCTCCTCAATTCATTTTATGCATTTGGTTGGGTTCAAGAAAAAAGGGTACTGGATAATCATAGATTAATCTTACTGTGTGTGATCCAAAACACATCTAGGCCAAATCAGAATGTAGGATACTTCCTACAGGGTTTTTTATCTAGGATATTTGTAGATCTAATTATCTCACCAACTTACTTGGACGCAACAGTTACCCTCATAACCTGTGTATTGTTGGGCAATTGTTTTGAATGGATTTTCACGGGGAGGACTTATATTCCATATTGTTTACCCAAAGAAAACTCTTCCCTTTCTGAAAATACTTTATGCAAGGCCTACAAGTATGCATTTGATTGTTAATTGGATCGTATAGCTAAGGAAGGGAATGCACACAGTGGTCAACACATAAACTTGCTATTTACTTTATGTGATGCACTTGGTATGTGCTTAGTTGATGACGCTACTGTCTTACTGTTTTACTCATTGTTACAAGGAAATCCTATCCTTAGGGAATATGTGCTGGTGCTGACTGATGTTGTGTATTTGTTGGAGCTAGCAGAAAGTTTAAACCGAAACTAATGACAAAAACAATGCTTACACGAGGACATTGCAAAGCAATTCAAGGGTGAATTGGACAAGACTCTAATTATCTATCAGTCCATTTCAATTGGTTATAGATGGTGGCGTTCTTTTGTCCTTGGGTTCCCTCGAGTAGAAGAAGGAATGGTCTCTCGGTTCCCTCGAATATGTGCTGGTGCTGACTGATGTTGTGTATTTGTTGGAGCTAGCAGAAAGTTCACACTGAAACTGATGACAAAAACAATGCTTACACAAGGACATTGCAAAGCAATTCAAGGGAGAACTGCACAAGACTCTAATTATCTATCAGTCCATTTCAATTGGCTATGGGTGGTGGCATTCTTTTGTCCTTGGGTTCTCTCGCGTAGAAGAAGGAATGGTCACTGACCACCAAACAAAGCTTTGAGAGGGATTCAGAAAGTTTGTCAGGGCCAGTTAGGAGAGATTTCTTACTGGTTTAGGAGCCTAGCTCTGGTTTAGTTCATAGAACTCTGGTTTATATTCTATTTTCCTGTTTTCACCACTGTAGAGCATTGAGCTCATCAATCTCCAGTTCAATAATAAACAATCTATTTACTAGGGGTGGCAATTGAATCCATTAAGACAAAATTCATCCACTAAAAAATACATCCAATCCATCCATCAAATAAAAAGTAAGTTAAGGATTAGATGAAATCTATCCATTTATATATATGGATGGATCCAATCCATCCACCACATTTTGATGATCCAATGAACTATTTTTATATTATTCTTTAAATCCAATAAATCTATTATTTTTTAAATTAATTAAAAAAAATTTGAAACTAATAAAAAGATGTTACTCAGAATTTCGGAAAATCAAAAAATTGAGTTTTTTTAAAATATCGAGTTTTTCCGGAAAATCGGAAAAATCGAGTTTTTTTTGGAAAACGGGGAAATAGATTTTTTTATTTTGGAAAATCGAGTTTTTTCAGAAAATCGAAAAAATTGAGTTTTTCGAGAAATCGTGTTTTTTTTCGGAAAATCGAAAAATCGAGTTTTTTAGGAAATACGAAAAAAACGAGTTTTTTTCCGAAAATCAAAATATCGAGGTTTTTTGGAAAATCGAATAGTCGAGTTTTTTTGGAAAATCTAATAGTCGAGTTTTTTCAGAAAATCGAAAAGTCGAGTTTTTCCGGAAAATCGAAATAGCGTGTTTTTTTTTCGGAAAATCAAAAAGTCGAGTTTTTTTAGATAATCAAAACATCTGAGTTTTTTTCTGAAAATCGAAAAATCGAGTTTTTCTGAAAAATCGAAAAATCGAGTTTTTTCGGAAATACGAAATAAATCGAGTGTTTTTCCAAAAATCAAAATATCGAGTTTTTTTGGAAAATCGAAAAGTCGAGTTTTTTCGGAAAATAAAAAAAAAACGAGTTTTTTTGGAAAAATCAAGTTTTTCCGAAAAATCGAGTTTTTTCGGAAAATAAAAAAATGAGTTTTTTCGGAAAATTGAGTTTTTTTCGGAAAATCGAGTTCTTTTCGGAAAAGAAAAAGATTGAATTTTTTCAAAAATGTTGTTAATGGATGAATTGGATATTTTTAAGGAAACTTTAGTGGATTGTTAATGGATTAATGGATTGTTTTGATCCATCCATTAACAATCCAATCCATATCCATCCAATCCATATCCATCCAATCCATCCACTTTGCCACCCCTACTATTTACCTAAGCTTCTGAGTTCATCACATTACTAATACATTTAAGACATTTAGATAGCAATAGTTACCACAAAACTCAAAACTAACCAGTTACAGATACTAAATAACTATCATTATAGTTACTACCAAAGTACCTTGTGTATCTTCTCACTGCCAGCATCAATGACCCGAATTATACCATTGATTCCTCCAGCCACAACATACGGAGAACCATTAGGATTGCAAGCCCAGCTCACTGTGTAAAAAGATTCATCCTTCTGGTCTACAGAAAAAATGGGTTAATATTGATGAAGTTTCTTAAATTATAATAATATCAACTACACCCTCATAGTTGAGGTAGAGACAAACAAAATGGTAGACATGGAAAAGAGTAGAGTGTTGCCATACATCTTCATCTACATAAGACTGCAGTACAGCAATAACTCCTCCTTCAAGGCAATGATAAATAGTAACCTAATGAAGGAAGAGGATAGAGGGTTAAAGATTGAAACTTTCAAGTGCAAGGTTTAAAAAAAAAAGGTTGTGTGAGAATTGAATGAAAAAGAATAGAACAGGGAAGAGAACCCGATTGCCACCAACAGTGGCAAAAACGTTGAAGTAGCGGGAGTCGATGAAGTTGAAAACAACGGCATATAGAGGACGCTTTCCCTCTTGGAGGCGATTGGTGACTCTATACTCTCTCTTCTTCAATGGGTTCAAGATGCCAGTCACTGGTTCAGATCCCAAACCAAACAACTTCACCATTTCTTGCTACCAACTTGTTTTGAAATAGCAACTTCTCTCTTGTTCCTTCTGAAGAACTTTTGTTGTTTCCCCACCCACCTATTAACAAGTAGTCAATAAAAATCAATAGGTAAAATTATCAAATCAAACAACTTCAACATTTCTTACTACCAACTTGTTTTGAAATAGCAACTTCTCTCTTGTTCCTTTTGAAGAACTTATGTTCTTTCCCCACCCACCTATTAACAAGTAGTGCAATAAAAATCAATAGGTAAAATTATCAAATCATTGGATTATTGATCAAATCGGGAAACCACTTGAAATGGATGGTTGTAGAAGTTCATGAAGTTTCTAAAAACATAGCAGTACATTACATATTTTGATAAACTCAAAACATAAATGGATAATGCAAATTATAAGTCCAAAAGTACAACTAAGTAACTAAGATTTATTATACAATATCACGATTATAAGTATATCATACATAATACCATTATGTCCAAAAAGAGTTCAATGGCGCCAAAGTTCCAACCTCTCTCTTCTTAGAAGTCACATTGATTCTTAAGAATATTTTTGGTCTCACTTTAGTTGTCAATTCACCCCAACTCACCCCCTCAACCTTGGCTCACATTGATCAAAGCCAAAAAAGCTCACTTGAAGAAAATCCCAGAGGGCCACAAAGCCCCCTAAATTAGAGGGGGAGAAATTACCTACTACTAACGTGCTTGGCCCACTCCATGGACAGCTCACTTATTTTAATAAATTTAATAATTTCATATAAACTTCAATAAAAATAAATAAACTGCACAATAACATGTTCCTTGACATGACGTAAATAATGTACTCATTCTTTTTGTCCTATTTTCAACTTATTATCAGTGAACATCATTATGCATAACAAATATATGCAGAAACTGCACACAGAACATGGAGAAGAGGCAGTGCTTGAACTTTTTCATATTTGTTTTGATTAAGGAGCATTAAGTACTGGACTTAAGAATTATACATATGGTAAAGTAAGCAATCTGCAATAAGAATCAGTTAAGAAAATAATGAAGATACAAGATATGAGCATTTTAATTCTCAAGAATTCAAAACACAGAAACACTGGGAGTTGGCAGCCAAATAAAAAGCTACCATCCGAATTGAATATAAAGCCTATATGACCAACAGCCTATATGACCAACGAACTTCAATCTCTACATCGGAACTTAAACTCAATGTTTTCTGTCTCGAGCTGGGATAATTGAAAGAAAAAAGAGACAGGACATTTAAGATTGTTGATGATATAATGCTGCAAATTTAGATATTTGTGATATCCCTTTCACTTGTCTTTGGTCTTACCAAAAGTATATAAATCACTGACATTGCCAACAGGATTCATATTAGTAAATCAGTAGAAAGCTAGTATAATAATGTATCGCTGGTCTGACAATGCCTTCATAAAACTGTATGATTGCATATCATCAATACAATCATCGAGAGATACAAGCCCAAGGAACACAGTTGTCAGGAAACTCAAAAAATATCAGTTATATCATATATTTATAACAATAATATGGCACACATTAGCCAGACAATCAAACATACGAGAATCAAAAACAAGATGAACCCTGTTACTAAAAACAAATCAACCCTGAGTTGGTTTTTTAGAAAAAATGCAAGCTCCTTTTTCCTCATCCACAATGTTTACTACTAAAAACTGGAGTGAATTAGCAAAGTAGTAATTATTGAGATGTGGTTGGGCCTAATTCAACCCTACAAAACCGGCTTGTAGAGTGAGGATTGCCCCCACTTATAAACACATGTTCAGGCCATATATTGTCCGATGTGGGACTCTTAACACACCCCCTCACACCCAGGACTAGACAACTGGAGCGTGGAAATAAATGGTGGATGGCCCACTGGATCTTAAACGAGGCTCTGATACCATATTGAGATGTGGTTGGGCCTAATTCAACCCTACAAAACCGGCTTGTAGGGTGAGGATTGCCCCCACTTATAAACACATGTTCAGGCCATATATTGTCCGATGTGGGACTCTTAACAGTAATCATATCAACATTCACACAACACACAAGAACAAATAACATCAAGGTTCTTATTCAAACATAGCTCAAAATCAGGCAATTGAAAAGGAAAAGAAAAATCACAGTGACGTCACTACCAATACAAATTTAGACAAAAAGAATGCAAGAACACAAAACAGAAAAGTTTACCTTCAGAGTGTTAAAATATGAGTTGTATGATGGTGAGTTTTGGAACCAAATATAGCGATATGAACTATGGTGAACTCAAAAAAAACACATTAAAATCTAGGGTGAAATCAGTACCCACGTGAATTGACAAGAGAACATGATAATAACAAGTAAGCTATTTGAATTGACAATACAAAAGCAAATAAATGAGATCTTATGATCCCATTAAATTTCTGCAGGAAGTAATTACCTTCTTATGATCCCATTAATATTGCCCCCATCAAAAATGTCAATCAAGAAATATATTGCATGGCGACTTTCATAACCTAAAATCCTCAAGATACTTTGTTAAGTCCATAAAATAGCCAAAGCAACAAATAGAATGGAGTTTATTGCTCAAATCTTCAGCATTAACATGTATGTTCGCAACACCGATGATCATTAAATTATCAACTCTAGTAGCAACTCACAAAATACAACAAAGCACATGAAATTGGGGGTGGTACGGGGGAGAAACATGCAGAATATGATATGATAGACACCAATCAAGGAAGCGTGTGCATAAAAACTTGCATTCATATTCAAATATTAACTGCCAAAAATGAAAAAATACCATAAAAATAGAAAACCTTACCACTGCGACAAAAACAGATTCAGCAAGCGAACGATAATAACCAAAGAAAAGGGGAAGAAATCGAGGAATTGGAGCTAGATTAGAGAATATATATGAGCTGAGAGCAATGCCAATGCAAAAGAGCACACAGAAGCACTGAATGAGTTCAGCAACGGCCGAAGAGAAAACCCTAGGCAGACATATATATGCATAGTAATTTTTGTACAACAGTGGATGGCCCACCATTGATCGGCCCGGCCCCATCCCTAACCCATATAATTTTTTTCATTTGAGTTCGGGTAATATTCAAGTGGCCAGATTGGGGGAGTCATACTAGGGGAAAATGTGATGGGCCATGAGCTATAGTTTATATTGACACCTCTATCAAACATGTCGCCCGTAGTGATTATTTGACCAAGTCACTGATCTACCGCGTCGAACATGCCAATCTGATTCTGCCTAGATTTAATAACTACGGTCTCAAGGTTACCAAAAAAGTGATCAATAAAATCAGAATAAAAAACTAGTTCAATTGTTTAAATTATATATGATAAAAAAAAACAAAAATCATCTATAATAAGTAATAACATGTTTAATGGTGTATCACAAAAAAATATATACAGCTTCCATCCCTAAATATAAGACTCCTGACTAAATCATTGGAATTAGAAAAGTGGATGGTAGTGTTAAATCTATTGGTAATTGATATTGTGTTTACAAATTTATCTTTCAAGAGAGAAAAATAGTTTATGTTCCCCTCATAGTATTTATTGTTAATTGCATATGGTAGAAAAATAATTAATGCGGTTGAAAATACAAAGAGTCTTATAAAAAGAGACAATTTTCTCAAGAGTGTTTTATGTTTAGAGGATGTAGTAATTTATAATCTCAATATAAACTTATCCAAAAAAAAAGTATTAACTACCAACAAACACACACACACACACATATGATGATCTATTTACAACAAGTCAACAACTATAAATAAATCTTTATTAGAATTTAGTTTTGGGCTAACTCAACCTCAGAAAACCAATTTAAAAGGTGAGGGTTGGCACCCAAATATAACCATCATTTAGAGCAAATTGATCCCCAACATGAGATTCTAAAAACACACCTCATGTCTAGGATTACATTTGGAGTGTGATCTTGGTAGCTCAGTAACAAGGTGGCCCAACTTATCCAAGATAGATTTTGATATTATTTTAGAATTTGGTTTGAGTCTAACTCAATCCTACAAAACCAGTTTGTAAGGAGTGGGTTATCCCTCGCCTATAACCAGTGATCAGGTTATATTACTATCTAAGGTAGGATTTCCAGCACTTCAAATTTTTGAAATTCAATAAGTCCAATTGAAAAAAATACTAAAAAGTAAACAAAAATTAAAAAACTTGAGAAATTGAAAATTGAAAGGGTTTTTATTTTTCATTGACAAAAAAACTAAGTCTGATGATGTCTAGGGATAAAACTACGTGCTCCGCCGCCACAACATGTGATTACAGGTTGTCTCACAGTTATTAGCTGAGAAAGTTCTGCTTCTTAATGGCTTATGTTTTAAGCTAATGGTCTAAAATTTTGTATCAAATTCTTGAAACCTTCTCTATGCAAATTTTGTGTAAATTCTTAGTGTTGTAACTATGGGATTCTACACATAAAATATCAGATTATCATTCTGATGTTTACACAGTCTTCATTATCTAAGAATACTTTTTTTACATTATCCTTTTCTTCAAAGAAAGACATGTATTAAAATTTTCTGTAGAACTTCATAAAATTCTGTTTCATTCACTCTAAACAGCCTGAAAAGTATTATTAATGCACCACTCATAATTGGATTGAACAAAGTACATACCAAAATAACCTATCTTTTTGTTGTTTGTGGGGTATTCCTTTACTAGAGGATACTGGTAAGTGGTAACACACTGCATAAACAGAAATAAATAAATAAAATGTCCAACTAAAACTCAAGATCTCAAAGTTTAAACAACTAATTAAGCATGATGCATAGTTGCATACATTGCTGCAGAAAGCCAGAAACATAAATTAAAAGTGGCATAAAACTCAAAGTCTAAATAATTCAAAACAACTAAGAGCTGGTAGCTCTAACTAGTAATAAGAGATAAAAATATCTAATTATTCTCCTCTTTCTCAACATAATCATTATCCTCAAAAAACATGAACAAGAGAAGAAATGAATTAAACAGGGGGGAGGGAAAGAAATAAATTAAAGGAAGAAATTTGAAAAAAAAACACAGAGCAAAAGAAGAAGAACGAACTGGCTTGAAGGGAGGAACCACTGAAAGCTTGAAGGAGATGAAGTATGAAGTGAGGAGGAGAGAAGATGGAGGCAGAGGCGGTTTGGTGATGAGAGGTTTTCACTTTAATTTTTTTATGAGCAGGTTTTTACTTTACCTATTATTAGAGTAGTGCTAAGCTAGTAGTTTCCCTATCCCTTGTACTGACAACTGTCAGCATTTGAAGTAGAATTTACCTACTGTAGCAGGTCACCTTGTTACTATTATAAGTAACAAGGTGTCACTCTATTGTAACTAACTTTCAAATCATAAGACAATTCTGTTACAAGATAAAAACAGAAATCCTAACTAATGCTTCTCTAGTTTCTAACACCTATGTTGTACGGTTTAGGGGATATATAAAACCACATCTCATCACCAACTCAGCAATACTTTATTTTGAGTGTTTTTAAAAATATGTAATGTGCAGCTCACATGATATTTTTAATGTAATCATTAGGGGAAAAACATTAACTTCTGCTATATAAGCAGTAATTGTTATCACCGATATGGAAAAGGTCACCACTATTGCAGTGATAGCGAAATCGTAATAGGTGTGTATCATAATTCGCCACAGTTACTCAAAATCCCGCTATGTAGGTATAGTGCGGTATAGAAGCGCTATGCCAGTTATTTAACAACACTGGCTAATACCAAATCCCAAATGACAGTTGACATTGACTAAGTACAATAACAATCTCTAAACAAATTCAAATCAAATTTCAAATGATAATTTGAAAATAAGACAATGGAAGGAACAAATTAATAGTAAACAAAGTCCTTTTGAATCCATTGCACACATGGTCTTCCTACTCATTCAAAACATATCCAAGGTTTGCCAAATAGGTTGTAGCAATCCTTTCACTTTCCTGATTCTAGGGGAATCACTGCCAGCAGCCCTTCCTATTACGCTCTTCTTATTATAAGAGATTTCTTCCGTGTAGGTAGGGCATTGACGGACTCATGGTCAACGTAAGACTCTCTTAATGTTTTTTCTTACATGATAAATGCTTTTAGAAAAGTTTATCGAAACTGGCTCTAAGTGATTGATTGGATTTACTATCTTTCTAAAACGTGTCGATGACTACAGATGCAAACACTTAATAAAAATTCAGCTTCTTACTTGCGAATAAAAGGTTTGTACCAAATTGGCATTTCATCAAACACCATGTGTGCCACCATAGAGCACCGGCAAAAGAGGAGACAGAATATATTCTCTCATAAATTCAATTTCTAGCCATTACTAAACATCATATCGAATGAAAAGCAAATGATAAATTGATTTCAAAAATAGTAACCATAATTTAAGAAAACTAAATGAAAATAATAATTTCACAATACATAGAAGGAAACATTGAGATTGTTACAAAAAAATGGAAACTTACTAGATAAAAGCTTAACTAACATTCCAAGTGAGCATATATGCAGAAATAAACGACTCTGAGAGTAAGAACAAGACTGAAACCTGAAATTGAAAGCCTGAGAGTGAGAGTGAGAGTGAGAGTGTAACCTGAGAGAGAGAAAATATGAAAATTAGAGTTTGAATATTGCATGTTACTATTTTCAGAAAATGAGAATCGAAAGCTTACGTCTGCGAGGGTGAGAGCCGGTCACCGTTTTTCGCAACTGGTGATGCGACGGTGCGCGGTGGCCGGCGTGAAAGAGAGTGGGTGAGTCTGGTCAGGGACAATTGTGAGGACTGAGCGAGATGAAATTAGTTAGGGTTTCAAACTATACTTACTGTATTTCAATTTCAAATTTTTTCAATACTATTTTTGTTTCCTCTATAGAATTAAATGTTTAATTCAATTTTTCTTCACAAGTGAAGGAAATTATTTTAAAATTTCGATTTGATAATTAAATTATTGAATTAAGTTCATCAATTAAATAAATTAAGTATGACAAAAAAAATTAAACTTATTAACTAAATGATCTTAATTTAATTTATACATAACTAAATGTTTATTTAATAATTCAATTCGATTACATATATGAGAAGATTTATAGTAGCTCTAATGATAAGTTCAAAGACTCCCTTCAAATTTTAATCTTTTATTTTCTTTTAATTTAATAATTTTAATTAATTATTTATATTCTCAAAGAAATAAAATATTTCTAAAAATAATTCTCATATGAAGAAAAAGAAAGACTATATGATTAAAGAATAAATTTTTTACATCAAATAAAAATAACTTTAAATTTATTAAATAAACGAGTTGAATTTATGAGTTGAACTAAATTGTTCGTGAACTTAAAATGAGTCAAATTTAAACTTAAATAAAAAATATTTGTGTCGAATTCGAGCCAATTTTGAACTAAAATAATTCATATTAAATTAAGCTGAGCTGAGACGAGTTTAACTCGACTCGATTTATTTATAATCCTAAAAATATTATAAGTGAAAATAACATTTTTATTTTTATTTTTTTAAAAGGAACATGTTTTCTTATAGCAATAATTAAATATTTTAATAAAAAAAATATTTCTAAAATTGATTTGACAAATCGTCTGATACTACATTTTTATGATCGTAGTTATGTAATTAAATTTAAATAAATTTTTTTATATATTGGCTAGGAAAAAAGAAATAACATGGATAATTATTGATTTTATCGAGATTAAAAAGATCTTTAATGGCCTGTAACACTTGGACTTCAACGGTTGTTGGAGAAAATGGGGGGGGATGTACTTGTAAGATACTATGGGCTTAAGTGAGGTTCAAAGCAAAGGGAGCAAGTACGGAAGGTAAGAGTGAATGGAATAGAATATCTGACCCTCTAGTGAAAGAGGGTATTTATAAAGTCCCCAGCGTTGGGCCAAAGTCCCCATCTTGGGTTGGATTTCCAGGCCCAAAATGGGTGACTGCTAGGATTTACGTGGGTAGGAAAGACCAGCATGTGGTTTTCGTCATAGGTCAACTTGCTCCGCAATCTTCGGATGGTTGGTTGACCACATTAGCTACGCAGGGTGTAACGTCTCCGAAGAGTGCGGAGCAAGTTGGTGGCGTATCCTTGGAAGAAGGGCACGCGGGCAACGCACGTTCAGATTGGTCTCCAAGAGATTGGGCTGCTAATTGGGTCGTTGTGGGCATGAAGGTGATTTGAACTGTGCTCGACGTTGGGCCCTGCTCGGGCCCAGTCCAGAACAGGAGCCCCCCAAGTCGTTGCTCATAGGTGAAGAAGTAATGACTTAAGGTCAGCTCGCGCGTCGAGTGAGATAGACTTCATTTACGCTTGCACCTGTTTGCTCGTGGTGGTAGTATTGCCTTGACTGCGTGGGTGAGATACACGTAACGATCGTGCTCGTATGACGAGAAGCGAAGGCTCTTGGCTTGTGTCTAACGAATAGGGAATGCCTTGGGGAGGCAAAATATCTGTTTTTTGAGCCACGTGTCGTAGCATTTAATGCATAATGATGGCCTAGAAGTAGGGTAATGACGACCTAGGTGTAGAGGTAATGATGTGTCGTTTCGACGACACGTTCCTGTATGCTGTCACGTTTTCCCGTGCGTGAGAGCTTGCTATAAGTACTTGTGACTAGGTAGCATTTGCCACTTTAGCTTCTCCCATCCAACTTGTCCTCTTGCTTTTCTATCAGGTTTCTTGATTTCCAGAGTTTTTCTTCGCCATTGTTGTTGTCGTGTATTCACCAACCATCATCTCTCTTCTTAACCCAGTAAGTTTCTTTCGGATTTTATTTTCTTTCCTTGTCGTTTTAGGGTTTTGTTTTTTCTTTGCATTGTGCGCCTCGTATGTTGAGTTTGGTCAGATTCCGCTGCGTGTTGGTGTTTAGCAGTGGTCTGACCACCTTTGAATGTCAGCTCCGGCGGCGAGTGTTGTACTTTAGCTTAGGGTGTGTCTGATTTCTGGAAAATTTTATGTAACGGGAGGTTTCTCCTTGCGACATTCATAGCTTCACGATGAATTTCATGTAAAGATGAGGCTTTTTCCCTACGAGATTCATGAATTCTTGATGAAATTCATACGATGGGGAGGTGTTCGCCGCGAGATCCTTTAATTATCTGGTGTCGAAGGGGGTCCCCCCACGGCTTCATTGATTGAGCTCTGATTCAGGGGCGATTTGTTCTAATCCTTTTTTATGTTGTTGAGTAAAGGCTTTGGTCGGGGAGTTTGTCCTTGTCCTTCGTACGCCCTTTCACTTGATATGCGGTGGAAGGGTGGATTTGATTTGACCGTCGAATTCACTACTTTCCTCTGCTTTTCTGGCATGACGGTTCGCAGTGCTGAGGGGATCCAGCTGGTCGACATAGTTACAGATCCTGAATTGGTGTGGGTTGGGCTCGAGCCACGAGGTATAGCCTCACACTATGTCACCTCCTCGAGTGAAGCATTCCAGACCATCAAGCACGGTGTGGGCAAAGAGGGATTTGTGAAGTCTTGGAAGATTTTCAAACTCTTTAAGGCCGGAAGGATCTGCTCGTTATACCAGGGGAATCATTTTCACATGTATGACTTTATCTTTAAGGAATTAGGGCTTCAGTTTCCCTTTAATGATTTCCAGATTGGGGTCTTCGGTCATCTGGCGTTAGCGCCTTCCCAGCTTCACCCAAACGCGATCACCTGTATTCGGTTGTTCGAGATCGTTTGTCGATATCTTAAGCTCGGGGCTACGATCCCTCTGTTCTTATGGTGCTTTCATCTTCAACGACACTCCTCAAATGGGAAGCATAGTTGGGTATCCCTAAAACAACCGAAAAGATTGTTTAAGATGTTCATGGACTTTGTCTGAGACTTCAAGGATCAATATTATCTTATTAAGCTTATGTCGCTGGAAGCTTTTGACTCAGTGCTCGAGTGGGTGATCGTGGTCGACGAGGATGATGACATGTGCTATGATGAGGATGAGAAAGAGTAGTCGGAGATAGTCTTGAAATTCCATATTCATTGGTGCGAGACTCATTTTCTGAATGGAACGGAGTATTACCTTACTTAACCAGGAGATTTGGATGACGAGGATGAAAAGTCTTACAGGAAACTTAATAAGTTTGTAGATGGTTTCTTCCCCGCCAAGTGGGTGACGAGAAGTGGGGATGATTTCCTCGATGATAAAGGTCAGCCCGTGTATGAGGCTTGACTTATCAATACTAAGGAGCTCCTTGAATTCAAAACCTTCGAGGAAGTTGTGGTGCTTTTAGGTAGTTGCGCTTTACTTATTTAGTGTATCCGTGTGTTTCTCTCCTCGTTGTACTGACACATGTTTGTTATTTAATGCAGATAAGATGTCAAGTATGAAGGAGAATATGCTCAAGATGGCGCATAACAAGGGGAAATCCCAGAAGGTTTTGAAGAAAATGACCCAGACTCACTTCGCCCCACCTCTGGATCAACCCAAGGATGGTTTTGGTACTTCTTCTTCGTCTCCGGCTGTCGATCAACCCCCTTCCGAGCAAGAGAATTGGGGTAGGAAGAGGGGTCGCTCGGAGGATGACATTCTTGACCTTATGAGGGACGCTCCTGAAGCTAAGTTTATGTTGCCTCCTTATTTTATGGAGAAGAGATTTTTTAAGGTTATCCTTTATACGTGCCTCGGGCTGATTCTCTAGTCATCCAGGGCCTCGATACCGCAGGCAAGAGAAAAAGGCTTTTCGAGGACGTTGTTGGTATGGTGAGGATTTTGGAGATGGCCATGGTTCTTAATGGTGATGAAGGTAGCTCTGATGTTGTGCTGAAGAGACTATAGACAATGAAATTGGCCCCCGAGGTGAAGATGAACAAGATGGAGCCTGGTATTGGTAGTTATAAAGAAAAAGTGTAAGCTCCAAGCTACTGACCTGAAGAAAAAAGAGGAGGAGGTGACGAATCTATCTGCGGCGAAGGGTGCCTGGTTGCTCGAGAAGAAGACTCTCGAGGATGAAATCGTTGGTCGTGGTGGCGCCCACTGAGAATAAAGTTGATGATGTGAAAGCTTTGAAGACCCGAGTTGAGTTGGTCTCTTAGATTCAAGTGGTCGAGCAAGATTGTCTGGGAGTTACCGATATGGGTTTTAACAACACAGTGGCTCAACTTCAGATTGTGAATCTAAGGGTCGAGCTTGTCATTGAAGGGATCGACTGCTTTCACCTGGTGCTTGACGGCCAAATAATACCTCCTTCTAGCTCCTCTCTGAGGCCGAAGAAGATGGGGGACCCCATGCTGACAGAAAATCGACTGACGGGGAGTGTGTACCCGAGAACCGATTATGTTTGTTTGTTGACTGTTTTGTTTGGGCATGTGTGCCCGTAATTTTTTTAATATTCATACAATAGGCTCTTCCCAAATTTTACTTGTAATAATTCGATCTCTCTGACTGCCATGGTCGTTTGCTTTAATTCTGCTTGACGTGTCTGTGCTTGTTCGTCTTATTCTTTTCGCTTTGCATTTAATTTCCCTGGATGGGTGTTCAGGGTGCCTGTTGATTGGGGTAATCCCCTGGGCAGAAATGTTATTGTGAAATAATTTTGCTAAGTGTTTGGGGGTCTTGCATTGACAGGGTTAGCGCTCGGCAATTTGGTGAACACATCGAGGAAATGAAGTTGAGTTCCATTTTATAACGGGACCAAGATTGCGGTCGAGGTCCTGATCTCGTGGCATGAACTTTCCCATCGCGAGCTAGGTGTTTTGCCTTATCGGTACTGCGACGGTGGAGCTCAGTTGAGGTATCCCCATCAGGCTAAGGTTCTTCGCATTAAATAAGCGGGAGCCCTCCTTTTAGTTCAAGTTTGGGATGTTGTGTTTGTGTCGTAACACGCTTCTGTGGCCGACGTGCCTTGTTTCCTGTTAAACAAGGTTTGCTGGCGTTAGACCTAGTCGTAGTACTGTTAGGACTAACTATAATAATTCTTTAGATTTTATGCATTCTGTGGACGAGAAAGTTTTTCCCCATTCAAGTTCTCGAGGTAATAGGCTCTGTTGTCTGTTTTTGCTCGGATACAGTATATGCCCTCCCAGTTCGCAACAAGTTTGCCCTCGCGCGGGTTTTTCTGATTTCTCAGCAGGACTAGACTGCCGACTTGGAATTCATGTTTAATGACTTTATTGTCATGGCGCAAAGTCACCTTTTGTTTTAATATGGCCTCACGGAAGGCTTCCCCAGATCAAATTTCTTCGACTAGGTCTAGCTCCTTTCTAAGGGCTTCATCGTTCATCTCCTTGTCAAGAGAAGCTTTAATTCTCCTTGATGGCTCTCATAATTCCATCGGGGTTACTGCCTCGGTTCCGTAGGCCAGTTAGAAGGGAGTTTCTCCGATGGTCGAGTGTGGTGTCATTTTGTAAGCCTAGAATATGTTGTGTAGCTCTTCGGCCCATTTCTTTTTGGCCTCACCCAATCATCGTTTTAATCCTCACAGGATCACTCTGTTGGCAACTTTGGCTTGTCCGTTCATTTGAGGGTGTTCGACAGATGTGAAGTTTTGTTTGGTGTCTAGTTTGGCGACGAAGTCTTGGAAGTTTATGTCGGTGAATTGTGTCTTGTTGTTGATGATGAGCGTTTGAGGTATGCCTAATCAGGAAAACACGTTTCTCTTGTAAAAATGAATTATATTTTGTGTCATGATCTTGGCAAGGGATTCGGCCTCAGTCCACTTAGTGAAGTAATCGACGGCGACGGTCAAGTATTTTTTCTGGTAGGATCCTGAAGGAACTAGACAAAACTTATCTGATAAAAATCAATAAAGTCGTCGCCGAACATCTACTTATCTCACGAAGGAGAAAGGGAAATATCGAAGAAAACCTGAAAGAGAGAAATCACGGTCTTTTGACCAAGAAATCGGGTAAGGGAGTCGGTTACGCGAGGGGAAGATGTTAGCACCCCATACATCTGTAGTACTCTACAGGGCCAACTCTTGTTGTTTAGCTAATTGGTGTAAAATAATCTATATCTAAATTGTACAAGGTATGTATGCAAAAGAAGAAGAAAAGTGTGGGGAAAAGAAATAAGTATTTACAAATTATGCTCGTTTAGTCCCCACAAAATCCTCTGCCTACATATCCCTTTTATGGAATCAGAGCAATCGTAGTTCGGCTCAATAGTTTTTGTAGGTTTGTATTTTTTATGGAACGACATCAATTTAACATTCTACCCGCAGCTCGACCTTTGGAGACTCACGCATCTGGAGTAGAAAGGAATTGATGTGCTCAAAAAGTGCTCAGAGGCAGATAATGCTATAGTCGTGACTCATAACAAGTAGACATAATGCAACCTGACCCTTGGGGAATTACGCATCATATTCCATAGAGGGACAATAACACATCCAATTTGAAATTGAAAATTCAAAAGGCAAGAAAAAGGAGTTTGAATTTGTTTGTGTCTTTTACCTTTGTGAAATGGTTTTGAGTTTATTAGAGGCGTTTTAAAGATTTGCTAAGAAAGAGTGTATTTTGTGCACATGCAAAGTGGGTAAAAAGGAAGAGTCTATAGGGGACTAACCTATTCTAGCCTAGAGTTATCATACAAAGATTGCCTTAAGGTTCAAACTAAGGTTTTCTAGGAACCAACTCATCCAAGAAAGAACCATCCTAATTGTTATTCAGAATAAACTCATCGTCGAGAATAATTCATAAGTCCTAAGGGAGCATGGAAAAAGAGATAAGCAAGTATAAAAGGTACAGAGATAAGCACGTAGGAAGAACAAGCGAATGGAACAAACTCGTCATCGAGAGTGAACCATCACAAAAGAGGGAACAAACTCATTATCGAGAATGAACCGTGACAAATAATATCCAAGTATTCTCTTTTCTTTTTATGCTTGTACAACAAGTAAAATAAAAAGGGAGCAAACTCATCATCGAGAATGAACCAAACCAAGCCTCAAAAGGAACATCCCATCCGGGTATGAATCAGGCACACAACATTATTATTATTTTCTTTATATTTTTGACATGATCATAAATGACAAAAGATAATATAAACAAAATCCACTTGGAACAAACTCATCATCGAGAATGAATCCAAGACCAAGTATCAAACTCATCATCGAGAATGACACAAAAACAATGCGAGAAAATAAACACACGTGCAGAATTGCCTACTCAAAGATAGGACTTTAAATAAACACAATTAGCATACAGAAAGCGGTGTCTGCTACATGACTTTAAACAGATACTTTGAGTGCACGCTCTTTATTTCATGCTTCCTACTTCTTATGATCTCTAGAAAGCAATAAATGCCCATACTATACATGATCTCTAGAAAGCGGTAAATGCAATATTACAATAAACAGCCTGAAACCATACCAAACGGATAATAAATATCCGCAAAAACCAAATCAATGCATATCGAAAGCTCGGAGGGCATCGCAAGCTAGCATCAACAACAAATAGCGTCAGAAGAGTGAACAATATATGCAAGCAAAGAGTATCTGTCACCAAAGCAAATGATATCTAAATTGCTTCTTAAAGTATGCACATCTTACAAAATTTGTTAGTAGATAACAACAAAATCAAATGTGATAATGGCAATTAGAAATATGCATAAAAATTAAATGGGAATATGTACAAGACAAAGCAAATAAGTCAAAAGAGCATAACATAGCATTTCCAGAAAGCAACTTCACATTTATGCAAATAGGTGCAAAAACCAGTTTAGAAACATTCAAATTTGCTACCAATATCAACAAAATGCTCAAATAAGTACAACAAAGTATTATTCATAGGCCCAAACTCAATGCACACGCGAAATACAAATTTTAGACAGCATTTTGCGCATTTTTAATATTCATCATGAATCGATTTGAAAATCAAATTTTTAGTGCATTAATCTTGAATGTTAACATGAGAAGGTTATCTGAACTTGCACATGAGCATGTAACCTCAAGATTGATCTTAAATCAAGAATTAAAGTCTTAAAACCTCATGAATGTAATGTATCAGAATTTAATCCACAACTTGTAAATTAATCCTAATTCATGAGTTTATGTTTTATACCAAAAGTATGGTGAATAGAAACAACTCACAATTTGTGAAATTCAAAGGTTATGAATCAAAAAAGCATTCTGATACGCTACATTTACAAAGTTTCTCAAGCAATTAATTAAAACCAAATGGTATTACTTGACATCAAAGTAAGAGTTAACATACAAAAAGTACCATAATTCAACAATGAAATACAAGATAATGTGCAAAAAAACTTGAATCAGAAGGTTAGAAAATTAATCGAAAAGAATCCGGAATCAACCGAAAAAATTAAGGTGGCATAGAAACGTGCCAGCGGTTCTAAAAATTAACTCGATTCGGCCAAATTATGTTCCCAAACGTGATTTTTAAACTGCTACAGTAGCAAAAAAATGGAACAAAATTTGTCTGAATCAAAAAAGTACTCACATAAGTGATTTCTAATGGCTCAAGAAACTCGATTTTCATCAACGAAAGTCGAAAAAACTCATCACGGGTCAGAAGTTAGAGCAAAAACACCAATTATGTCAAACTTTTTCATTTACCAAGTGTTGAGGTATTTTCTATCAAACTCAATCAAACTTACTTCATAAATGTTTAGCAATGGCATTTGAGTCCATTAGAAATTACCTCATTTCATTAAAATGGCAAGCAACAATTAGTCAACCAAAAAATTGATAAAAAGATTAGTTTATGTCAAAAATTAGTAACTTGAGATTATATGCAAAAATGTATTTCCAATGCACAAAAATATCAATGATCATCAATCAAATAAATGAAAACATGTTATAAAACTTGAAATCAAGTATTAGGCCTAAACTAAACTAATTGTTAGTTTATGTTACAATACATAAATCAAAGAAATTAGTACCTAACATAAATGTTAGTTTTAACTAAACTTTATATCAAATTCTCCCTAAATCAAGGATACAATGAAATCCTAAATTAAATTATCAACCTAGTCCAAGAATTAAGAACTACACTACAATATAAGTGTTAATTTAATCCTAAATCAATTCTAGGCTTCTATGAGGAATTAAGGCAAACACCTAGTGTGCACAAATTATACTAAGTTTCTATCTTACAAAACTAAATCCAAGAACCTAATAAAATCCTAAATCAATTTCAACCTAAATCTCTAATTAAATTTTAGAATTATATAAGATATGTTATCTAATCCTAATTATGTCAATCAAAACCTAATTGTACAATTCTACAATAATCAATTCAAGAACAAGAATTAATGGAAGTCAGTAATGTTACC